TTTAAGTGGACTATGTGGTGATGGAGGAACTTACCAAGAAGTGGCCAGAACTATGGATGGATATTTCTTATGTATGAATGGTCACAAGCAACCAAAGACATTTTTAATGGGTTGCCCAGCATCTGGTGTCAATGATGTCAAGACCAGGACATTTCGGAAAGTATCACACCATCCTTACTGTTGTACTTCAGAGGTCTGTGAACAAGCTAGGTGCACCTGCACCTGGAGTGTCTGTAAGGATATGAACAAAGAGTTTTCAAGCTTTTCTCCTGCAGCTGAGCCTCTTCCCCCAAGAAAGAAACATGAAAACAGCAGACAGTGCCAACATATGTACCTGTAGATAAGCAGTTTGGACAATTAGCGGAGAGAAGGATCCCCGCTCAAAATTGCAATTTCTTCAAGATGAGAGTATAAGCACTGCCACTGGGGATTTTTTTGCTGAGAATGAAGTGAATTGATTTGCAGCTTCCCATTAACAATAAATAATGTTCAACTCTGGAGACATATTGTAGATCTTTTTCTGCTTGAACTGTTGTTTGACGACTTGTGAAGTAGTTAATGACCCAAAATGAGAATACCTGAAAGCAAACCAGCTTCAGGTCAGCTGTTGAAACACTTTTACATTGCATAGAGACCTAGCATTGAACTATTTACTGTACTGACTCAGAAGGGGGTGGCAAAATTTAGGGTCCATGTCAAGAGGATTTCTCATGCTTGAGTTTAGTTCTTTAATATAATGTAAGACATTTTGGGGAGTTTAATCTGCTTAGAGATGGAAAGTGCCTGAGGAAACAAAAAAAGAATGGAAGACAGAGAAGATTAGGTTTATTTATTAGAGGGAAGAAGTGATGGATTTAAGAGAGGGTATAAAATCCAAATGTGTACAGACATGTGAATTCAGATGTTGGAAAGCATCTTGCTTCTGGGAGATGTGTTTAAATATTGTTTCATGGACTTCTTTTGCTTTCAGGAGATCAAGGTTATTCCACAGGGATCCTAGAAGAGGACCTGGAGATTCCTCTGTCTTTCTTCACAAAGACTGCAGATGGCAAATCAGGGTGCTATAATCCTGACACAGGCATTAAGTCTGTCTTTTAGAGTAAGCCCCCTTAAAACCTGTGGCCAAATGCACATACTCTTGCTACCAGGTTATATAGTTCAGCACCCAAAATAAAATTATTGTATGAGATAACCTAGAACATGCAAGGCATACAGATAATGTTACTAAAAATAAAGGGTATTTTTTGACCTGAAATGCACAGTGATGAATTACCAACTATGCATGTCACATATGTACTCACTGTAACACAGAATGTCAGGGATAAAGCCTCCCCTGTGCTTCACCAGTCTTTTCCAGATGAATAAACAGTATCCTTCTTGATTAATCTACCCAGATGGCACATTTGTCCCCTAGCATTTTTAATATATGACCATATATATACCACATGCTTGCAAAAATCTGTGTTGAGTAGAAGATTGTTGTCAAGGGGGATTGAGATCCTGAAGAACATGTGCTGTTATTGCAGGGCAGCCACAAGCTTCCTTGTAGAGGGTGGCCTGTTGAATCTTCAAGCCCTGCAGCCACTCTTATTCACTGCAAACTTTAAGGGCATTGCAATCACATTAATGTTTCCTTCTCTCCATTGTCACTCAATGAGCAAAAGAGGTAAAAGAGCAGCAATGCATTTTCCAGCCTCCATTAACTGGGGGAACATGGCAACCACAATGGGGTCATTTGTTGACCCAAGAGCTGCTATCTTAGATCAGTAACAGGAATGGTCCAAATGGCTCCAAACCTGGCCTTCTTCTCTGGTAATTGCCTATATCCATATGTCCTGATAATATGGATGCTGAGTAAACAAGGTGTAAGAGGATGAACTACATCCCTGGCAACATGCCACGGAAGGGGATGCAGAAGTATGTAGGTAGCTGATCAGCCTGAGCTTCCCTCTAGAGACATGGATACTAGTGGTCCAATTAAATTATTTGATATGCTGCTTCCACTGCAGTCTGAAAACTAAGACGAGATGTGCTCAAGCCACTGGTAGACATGCTCTGAAACCAGTGGCACTGCAACAACAACCAGCTGGAATTTAAAATTGCAATGGTCCGGACTTCAGGGTCACACCTGTGCGTGGCAGATTTTTGGTTTGTTTTTTGTTTTGTTTCTCAAATGTAGGATTTGTAGATAGATAGTTCCCAGAAAATTCTCCAGATCCCCAACTTCGTATGAGAGAGTGAAAAGAGATAATTTTCAGCTCACATCACCATACTCAGCACAGAGCTATTTCTCACATCTTGTGCATGTACCATCAGGAACGCCATGTTCCACAGCAACAGGGAAGTTTGCTGTTTCTCCTCCATTCTAATATAGTGAATATTATCATAGAGGATGACTAGCAGTATTCTCAGTCACTCCCAAACTGAAGACATGAAGAATGCAGAAAGACTTTTATAATTTCTTCCATACTTATCTAGCAAAGAGCAGTTACAAGTTAACTCTCAATCTTTTCTGTGCGACTAAACAAAAAGATGAAAATAGTGCATGATAAAGATTGCATTTTTTTTGTCACTGTGCTCCTGGAACCGGTTCCTGTTAGATAATTAGACCATAAGCCTCCTCACAGCAGGTACCCCAGCTTTATAGCCACCTGGGTTGTTTGTTAACCACCCAAAGCACTGATCACGCTTAAAGATCAAATTAATCATCATGAATCAATTAACAGTACCTTACCCACACTGATGGTTAGACTACATCATCAAGTAAACCTATTCAGAAACCTTATGGATAATTTTTTTCCTGGAGTTAGTGCAATATTAGTTTACAAGCTTTTAATCTTGATTTCCTTTCTCAGTTTATTTTTAACACATTATTTTAGCAAGGACAATTAAGCCTTCAATCTCTGTTTGGTTTGTGAGAATTTGACTGTTTAATTTTTTTCTATACTTATGTTATAAATTTGGCCAGTTGAATTACCTGCTGATGTTTGTTTCTTTTTGAAGCTGAACATTCATGATGAATAGAAAATAACAAAATAAACACCTTTCAGCATTAAGTTTTAGTAAAAGAATAATATTTTCAAGGATTTATGAAGCCAATGTTTAGAAATACTTTCTTGGAAGTCCCTATAACCCTCAAGATCTTGAGACTAAATTGAAATCAATATAACCTGAAAGTAAATAAACTTTGTGCTTTCTATTCAGGCTATGTGCTTATAGAACAGTTTTTGTTTTGATAGAGTTGGTTGAAAAAAAATATTAGTGGTTGAAATCACTTGGAGCTACCTGATTATAAAGCTGAGCAATTCAGTCTTAGGAATGCATCAGGAATAAACATATGTGTCATATTTCATTGTCTCCCCAAAGAAAAATAAAGCATTTGGTCCCTATTTTAACAGGAACACCTGCTATTCAACAGCTAGATTGAGTCAGTGAGTCCAACCAGGCTAAAGACACAAGGAATTCTGCCATGAACTCACTTTAAAATTATGTCTTCATAGAGCAAAAATCCCTCATGAAAAATTTAGTTGAGGGTGTGATTTTGCTTTGTACTTCTCTGAAAGATTATATTCTGGGGAGTGTTTGTTGATTTAGAGCTAGATTCAGCAGAACACACATAGAAATTAAAGGTCCTTAATCAAGATATAAGTCTTTTTCTTGGTCTTGTTTAGAACTGTACTGCCAGTAGAAATGACAAAACTGGTCCCCATGAAAGGGTGCTTAGAACTGCAGACTGCTTGTTTCTGAGAAGAGGTAATCAAAAAGAGGAAAAAAAAACATGCTTCTAAGTAACTGGTTGGCAAACTCTGTTATATGGCTCAAGACAGAGTTGGTACAGTTTTGCTTGAGAAGCCCCTCTGATGAAGCATTTTTCATTCTGGATACATCACATACATTGTGTCTCTACAAGACAGACAACTTTGAAACCTGAGAAAATCTGCCTGCGGGATGTTAGTATCAGAATTCACCCTGAAAACAAAATATCATGTGAACCCACTTCAAACGTGGGCAAACACGTTAATTATCACAACCCTTTGCCTTCCTTCTATGCAACCCAAAAGCCATCAGTGTAGTCTCCTTTCCAGAGATGCCAGAGAAACAGACATGAAAGGGGCCTTCAGCAAAAAGTCTTTTTCCTCCTACCAGTAAAGCCTCCTATTAGAGAATGGTGACAAACAGATGACAGGTTTAGAAACTAGTTGTTTACTTCCCTAGAGCATGAAAAATATTCAGTCCAGCAAAAGGTATTTTGTCACAGTCTTCAATGTATTTGTGACAGCTGGTGACAGATTCACTTTGAAAATCACATTGTGAAAGGACACAGCTTTGTAGGCCTCTCTTAAATCTCAGATTCAAAGGTGTCTGCCATCAAGGCAGACATCATAACTCCTATCTCACAGCCATATTTTTACCAAAGCAGCTAGGCTTCGTGTGGTGTCCAGTAAGTCACACACTGGTCTTGTTGTCAGTTAGTGTCTACCTGCTAGACAGTCCAGGATCCATAGACACTTTACTGGTCTCCAGGGGGAGCTTTATGATAATTTTTAAATTAGGTTGCACAGCATAACTACACTCTGAACAAAGGGCTGGGTGTGTGTAATCTTAGTTTAATCATTTGACACAGTGCTTCTATTTACTCAGCCAATGCAATTAGCAGCTTCTTTTGAAGATCTCCATATGATCAGATCCTACTGGGCTGAATCACTTTCTAGGCAAGTGAAAAAAAAAAACAAAAACAAAAACAAAAAAAGTCAAGTCCAAATTTCAATTACAGACTTCCAGAAGATGTCTCTGGGAAATAGCAATGACTATACAGTGGGGGACAGTTCTCTTAAATCCAAGCAAAAGGATGACACAATGAGAAGTATCAGGTGGTCATATAATCTTTTTTGGACAACAGATACTTGCAAGGATTGGGGTTCTGTTCCTACTTGCATCATTGGCCTAAGTGCAAATCCTTAGAAAAATAATTTTGTTTATCTGAATCTCAATTTTATTACTTGAATCTCAATTCTGTTTTTATTCTCTTCCTTGACACCCATGGATGATAAGAATCTGTGTAAAGGAAAGGTGACTGGAGGCAGCTAGAAAGAAACATTTTTGAATTCAGATTTTAAAACCATTTCCCATGCTGTTTTTTGGAGCAAAGTTATTTCTTTGTATTACTCCAGAATATTTATTTTTCTTCTCAAAACTCATAACATTCTCAAAAAAAAAAAAAAAAAAAAAAGATGAGGGGATTGTTCCCCTTTGAAGAAGAAGAAAAGGTAGATATTTAATTTTTACATATGAGGACTGGTTGGGTTTTTTTCTCTAATTGAGCAGCATAAATAGAAACACAAGAATTTAAATGCATGTCTTGAAGAGGCAGCACTTATTCAAGTCAGTCCAACAAAATAAGCCACTGCTGCCTGCCCATTCTAAGAGCTGAAGCCCTATTTATCCTACAGTCTTTTTCTGCCAGACCAAGGTCACTCTTGAGAGCTTTCTCAAATATTAGCCAGTAGCCATGCAACACATGATCTGGCAAGGGCCCACCTTGTCAGCTATTCCAACCCACCCCCCTAAAGTCCTCCTTTGCTGTTTTAACAGATGCTAAGCCAAGTACAAAAATTATCAACAATGGTTGAATTTGTCATGCACCTATTCTACTGTTTTCTGATAACAGATGAGTGAGCTCACCTTTTATCTGTGGTTGGTTTCTCTGTGCAAAATTTGCTAGCTAGCCCTGCAATTAGTTTTTTCATATCAGACAGCATGGTGGTTTTGTGCCAGTACCTGGTTTTACTTGAAGTCCAACAAAGACTGAAATTATGCATGGCCATACGAATATTTTGTTAGAGATAAACTTATAGTCAACCACGTCTTTCACATACAAAAATCATCAGGTGCATTCACACGTATTTCACCTGTTAGAAGAAATCAGATGTGTGCTTTTACATAACCATGCAAACCACTTCACCTGAGCTATTACTTTTCAGCAAGGAGGGGGCAGTGGCTAGCTGCTATTGACTAAAGACTGAGGTACTGCAAACTTGGAACAATTTGGTTTTGTCACAGTACAGATTTACCAGAACCGAAACTGCATGCTTATCTATCTTTCCTGCACACACTTTGTTATCCACTGACTTCCACACCTATGCATAAAATAAATCTTAACATTGTCTCTAGTATCTCTTACTTAATAGCATCTTCCTCCTAAAGCTTATTCACTTGATTTACCTAAATCCTCCCTGAAGCTTTTTCTCCCAGTTAAACCCTGGGAGTCAAACTCACTGTAGTAGAGAAATAATTTGACAGTCTAGAGCATTACACTAGAATGTTAGCTAAGTTAAACCCAGTGTTACAGTATTGGTGCAAGAGCCTGTACAAAGTATTCTGAACTACTTCTAAGCCCTAAACTAAAGTTGAAAGCAGTCATGGAAATTCAAGTGGCCATTTTTAGACAAATAGAGAAGAATTTTCTCCAGAACAGAGGATAAAAATAACTTTTCTTCCTGTCTTTCAACTCTGACCTGAAACTCAACCAAGAATACCCTTGGCTTCCAGAAGGTCTGTGATCCTGTTAGGTTTTATATGCAAGTCAAGAACCACACTTTTGTTTTCCTTGGTTCCTATGCAATTTTTAACGTTGACACTCCTGGTGGTCATTTCTATTGGCTATGCTGTTGTTAGTTCTATTCAAGAAAAGCATCTCTGGGACTTGTAATGCAGAGATTCTGTAGAATTACTGGTTACTTTTTTTTATCCTTGTTTATGGATTCCTTCACAGGTTTATTTGCGTGATGATGGTGTATTTATTTCTCAAACCAAGTATATTGGTCACAATGTAAATCACAGGGATTTAGAAAATCCTTCTCCATAATTTAAAGTGTGTGAGTCCCATGCAACAGAGATTATTTTGTATGTTTTTCCCCAGAAAAATATAGCATAAACTCTACAAACAAACAGATGCATTACAGCCTGTACTGCTGTTCTTCATCTGTAAATGTGAGTTCTGTCTTGTCTCTGAATTGGTAATCTTGGAAGGAAAGGGCAAGAAACAACTCTTACTGTGATTTTATGCAATATCAAACATATTGAGGCTCTTAACATTGTTTGAATTTTCTCAGAATCCTGTTACTTGAAGTAATTTTAAACTATCAGTTTGAAACCGCTCTTTTTCTTTAAATGTTCTTTTATACTTCTGAAAAAAGACAACATTCACAGAACACACAAAAGTGCAGAGAGCACACTGACATTGTCATACATGCTTTATTAATTTATGCTCAGTGAATACACAATTAGGTAAATGAAAGCATGTGAGAAACACAATGAATTTAATGACTGCTCTTAAGACTGATTACTGAATGAACTCATAATACACATTTAGGGATACTTATATCTCAATAGCAAAATGAACTTTTATCTGATTTTATCTTGAGCTCTATTATCAATTTCTTATAATTAAAAATATATAAGGAAAAACACTTCTCCAGTTATCTGTGGCTGCATCAGGCCTTTGTAAAGTCTTTAGCACAATGCCAGTATAGCTTCATGAATCTCAGCTATGACATTTTTATAAGTTATTTGATCTTCATCTCAGAACCTTTATCTAAATTATTGTTATTATTATTCCAAGAAAAAGAATGCTGCCGAGTTAAAACTGACAAAATAAAACAAATGAGAAGGAATGAAAACAGAGCACCGTTAGAATATCAATTATCTTACTGAAGAAAATAGTCTTGTATTTTTTTGTTTTCTCAGATTTCCTTCAGGTTGGAAAATGATAATGCAAATGATGAAATCCTAAGGCATGTATTTAGCTCATTTTAGAGATAAAAACACCTAGAAACAGGTTGATTGTCATTTTAAATAATTATACTGCTTCCATGAGGACCTGGAATCTCCATGTTTCAATGTCTCTGTTTTGATTACTGATGTGGGTGGTTTACATCCAGAAGTTTGATGTTTTACATTTCTGTAAAAACACTGAGCTTTGACAATATTTATTACAGTAATTTTGGATAACAGTCTCAGTTTCATGGTCTTACTCAGCCCTTCTGGTGTACTGTGAAGCTCTTGGAAACAGTGCTACTGCATGTCAATAAGGTCATCAGGTGAGTTTTAACAAACTGAGGAGTACTATGTTCATTTTTGCATGTATTTTCCGCTTGGTAGTTGATGCTGATAGCCCCTGTATGAAACATTCTTTCCTGAAGAGCAATTTCAAAGAGGTGGCAAAATGAATTTCTTTGAAATTTTCCTGAAGACTCAAAGAACAATTCAGCACAACTTCAACCACCTGTCAACACTAGGGAACTGAAAACTAGTGTCTCTTCATAGCCCTGCTATGAAGCACTTGCCCTGATCCTGGCTTCCCTGTGGTTTCCTCCCAGGTCATTAACCAATAGCCACATGTCTGAAGAAAAAGCATGACCTGAATGGATGCACCACCTATTTTCCAAACATATTCTCATCTAGACTGCTGACTGCGTGATGCTGCAGCCCCTGGGGACTCACAGAGACACACTCCTGCTCCCTCCCTTTGTAAAAAGAGTCCTAAATGATACTGAGGTGCCTTACAGAAGGCTGTCAGGCTGTCAGTGGTTAAAGAGAACCTTTTCAGAGATTTTAATAAGGTCCCTCCAAAGTTTCCCCTTCTCTTTTTTTTTTCTTTCAAAAAAATAAAACAACTTTTGCTTGACAAACTTACCTGTTTTATGTAAGACTGAAACCATGACAGCACATTAAATAGATAGATAGATGGATAAATAGAACCCTCTAGTTCTTATATATTTTCAAAACCAAGTCATAACCAAACCGTTTGAACTCCTTCTGTGGCATACACAGTCATTTTCTTGTCTGGAAAACTATATTTACTTCTGCTTAAATGTTTCTGTTTAATCCTTTTCACATTGTCATAACAGCCTTGAAAAAAAGGCAAAAGTTTATGTCTCTTAAAAAAAAAAAAAAAAAAGCATGTAAAACCCACATGCAGACATGCTGTAATATAAAAACATGGAGCAAACGGCATTAAAAAAAGTAAAAATCTAAGAAAACTGTAAAAATCTCTTCTGTTACCAAAGAGCCCTTCAAGTAACCAGAGAGCCCCTTCATCCACTAACCATCTTCTTGCTGAAAGGATGAGTGTTCACAGCTAGTTCTTTAAGGAAAGTGCATAGAAGAAAGAAACACAGCATGACCAATAACAGAGGTAATGGAAACTCTAGCTAGTCCTGCAGGCAATAATCACTTTAGCCTAACCTCTCCTGCAGTCTTTTGCTTGTGTCCCTGTTACTTGCGTTCAGACAAGTGCCTGGGATGCAGGTTCTCTCAGTGATACCCTGAAAAGAATGGATGTATCTTGAGAGTCTTGTCACTGTTAAAGCCTTCATCAAATACAAATGTGATTGATTTATTTCTACTGGTTCTTGGTTGTTTTTATGTGAATTACTCTTGTTAAAATCAGTAGTCCACACCCCACTCACTTTCATCAAAAATTAAAAAAGAGAACAAAAAAAAACCCCAACTTATAGATACATTTAAAAAGGTTCCAAAAAACATTTCATCAGAGGGCAAGAAAGAAAAGGCAGAAGGGAGGAAGCTTTACATTTGGAGCATGTGTGTCACCCTCCCTCCAAAAACAACATATCCCAAAATAAATGGTATCTTGCAAACAAAAGGTATGATACAAACCCACAACTAAAGCTAATATAGGTCTGCCTCAGCCCACCACAGCATTTAAAAAGAGAATTTGAGTCCCTCCAACTGCATCAGCATAAGTCAGAATTGTGTATTAGCAAAAAGATGTTCTATTCTATATCTATCAGGCATTATCAGTAAGGAGAATGGAGAAAGCTATATATTTGTATAACGCAGTTTGAATAGAGACAATTAGCTCTAAGGGGTAATGCATTAGGTCCACCATAGTTTAATTTCAGCACTATACTGATGTTACTAGCATACAGTAGGAAACATTTGCTCCCATGGAGTTTTAATTAGCAGACTAGAGTTTACATTAGCAGTGTTATTCACTCACAGCTCATGGTTTTCATTTGTTCTATCATGTCTTTTGTGAAGACACCACAGTCACCAAGTTTGTCAGTCAGATGTTTTTAATTTTTCTTAAATGCACTTCACAAACCTTACTGAAATGCTTTTTGAAAGAGTGCCAGAAATATTCTGTGAATGATTGATGAGCATATTGAATTAGATGTGAGGTTTGAAATTCCCTTTGAGAAGTAGTGGGTTGAAAATCCATTAGTTAGCGTTTTTGCGTCTACCTGCTGCAACTCCTATGGTGCAAGATTCTAACAAAAGACAATAGCTGCATACAAACTAAAAGTACCGACCCTTATAAAAGTACAGGACTGAGAATATAAAAACACTTGGGCTAATTCAAGGGACTCAGTTGTTGCAGGGCACAAGTAAGCGTAAGAGAGGTCATACCAATGACCAAAACCATGCTGACATTACTGTCATACACCTTACTGTGGGGGAAAAGGCTTAAATTATACTGTAACTTGTTGCATATGGAGAAGTCTGCTGCTGTTCCATGAGCCACAGCTGCTTATAACCAGACCTGCCTGTGCAGTAGTTTCCTTCACAGCTGGTTGCTACCTGCCAGAAGATGGGTCTGCCCATGACACAGTCCCTGGCAGTGTCTTGTGTCACTCACTAAATGACAGATAACCATTTGCACGTGTGGTCAACAAATGTTATCTGCCAAGTCCAAAGGGATTTCTGATCAACTTTCCAGCATCAAAAGGCCTTTTTCTGAATTCATTAATGCATGAGATCAAAAGCAGACAGAAGGAAAACTGGGTTTCAGACCAGTACAGTGTTACACTTTGCTTTGCCCCACAGGGTGTAATCAAGTTGAGAACTGGGTTATCATTTCTTCACTATCAACTTGTTAGTACAGTTTGGTTTTATTTGCTGTTGAAAATGTTAATACTTTACTAAGGCAAATCTGATCTGTTTCTCCATTAAAATTAATTGCATTGTGAATTTCATCTACAGTGACTTCGTAAGGTATAGTCATGTTATGGATTGGCTGAGACAATTCTTATTAGCTTGTTTTCTTGTTTTTACAAAGTGATTCAAAAGCCTTAGAATCCATCTGCTGTTTTCTAAACTCCAATATCCTTGTTAGATAATTATGTAGTAACTGCACTTTTTAAGGACCTCAATTACACTAAAGCAAGTCAATGCTTTGCATCAACTACTGGGAAAATGATAAAACTCCAACAAATAAGAAGTGACTTAAGTTGGACCCTGTTCAACATTTTTCACTTGATGAGGGCTAATTACAAAGTTGTGATTTGGTACCTTTAGATGCTTTGAAAAGCAGTGTTAGATGTGCAATATTCTACAAACACCATTATTTCTCTCCGTTTTACAATTAGGAAGGGGAAGAAGTGCAGTTCTGTCTTGGCTCATCCATTAGGCTTTTGCTGTGAAGCAAATTGTATTTGTGGCAGAAGTGAATTCCAAGGGCCAGTTTGCCAGGAAGGTTGAACTGCAGTAACCCATCTTCTCCATACTGAATCTCCATATTCCAGTGCCAAGGAAATACAGATCTGGTTTTGAGATGATTGTTTAAGATACCACAACACCAATACAGAACAAAATTGCAAAAGAGAAATATACAAGAGAGACTTGTGACAAAGACTTAACACAGGACCACGAAAGGTATTTAGCACTGACCTGTTAAAGGAGGAGAGAACCTGAGTTCACAACCTTTGCTGACAGAAAAGTCCCTGACCCAGGAAATTTGATGCACATTCCTATAAAGAAAAAAAAATCCTAATTTTGTTGTCTCTCTCTCCTTACTGATCACAGGAGCATACTAGCTTTTTGCTGTTTTAATTTCATAATACTTAGTCTACAATCTGTCAGATAATGATTAATGTTTTCAACATTAGTAATACATATGTGACTTGGGGGTCTTTTTGTGTAGTAATTAATCTTTTATTCTTGTATATGTTACATAATTGTTAAAAGGACTGAGATTTAACCCCAGCTGGCAATTAAACACCATGCAGACGCTTGCTCACTCCCCCCTAGTGGGATGTGGCAGAGAATTGGACATGGGGACATACATCTAGCATGGCGAACTGCATACAAGCATCTTTGTACCCTCAACAGAAAGATAGCTACAAAAACTGGTTTGGCCTCTGTAACTGTTGTATTTACACTAAAGAGATTAAAAAAACAAAACAAAACAAAGCCAAAGAAAACCCAAAACCATGACCTCAAACCTTTTGTTCTGCTTCCCATTGGCAGGCAGGTGCTCATCCATCCCGAGAAAATCAGGGCTACCTCATGCGTAATGGTTACTTGGGAAGACAAACACCATCACTCCAAACATCTCCCCCTTTCTTTTTCTTCTGCCTAGTTTACATGCTGAGCATGATGCTGTATGGTCTGGGATATCCTTTGGGTCAGTTGGGGTCAACTGTCTCAGCTGTGCCCCCTCCCAACTCCTTGTGCACACCAGCCTGCTCACTGGTGGGGTGGGTTGAGAGGCAGAAAAAGTCTTGACTCTGTGTAAACACTGCTCAGCAGTAACTAAAACATGCCAGTGTAATCAATGCTGTTTCCAGCAAAATCCAAAGCACAGCCATATGCTTGCTACTATGAAGAAAGTTAACTCTCTCCCAGCCAAAGCAACACAAATGTACAATGCAAACAAAATGTCTCGGTCTACAGGCAATGTTACTATAAATTTCACTGAGTAGAATTAACTCTCTACAGGGGGATAGACCATGCAACAACAACAACAACAAAAAAGCTCAGATTACGGTTGTAATATAAAACCCAAAATTCAACCTCAGCTGTGATTCAAGCTCAGATCAGCAATAAAGGGGTACTTGGGGGTGGAATAAACCTAAAAAATGTGTTTATTTTAAGCATGTTTTCTGAAAGGCCACCTAAGCTCAGACTGAAGCTGTGCCTGAGTCAAACAGGTTGTCAATAAATCTGAGTTATTTGGTTTACAACCAAACCAAACATAAGCCTCATTCCAGCAAATGATTCTGTTTCCGAAAATCATGTTTTCCTTAAATCATGTTTTAGAAAATCTACTTTCCCTAAGCAGAAAGATGTAATATTTTGGGGTTGGTTTGTTGGGTTTTTTTGTTTGTTGTTCATTTGGGTTTTTTTTTTTTTTTTACTGAAACAAAATTTTATTTGCCAAGCTCCATTCATTTCTCACATCTAATTTTGGTTTATTAATGACTAGGTAGCAAGCACAAAATCAGGCAGCCTGAAGTAGCACACAGATCAGAAGACCCTGTGCTCTTTGGTTAAAGTTAAAAAAGGATTATGTTCAAAAAGGATACAGTGAACTAACCCCAGTCATCCCGACTGATCTATACATACTGCTGTAAAACTAAAATAAACAGAGTATGTTTTGCTGTCCCTATCACCACTGGAACAAGACCTACTGTCCTGAATTAAGAGCATAACTACTTATACAGTTAATATGAAATAGGCATCCCAGGGTTAACTCTGGCAGACTGTTCTTATCACATTTTGAATATATCCAGATTTCATTAGCAGAGACCAACATCAAAAGATTGTTTGAATACATCGATTTCTGTCATAACTAACTCTCAGCAATCCTATAATTCAATGAAAAGGGGTAGCTCATTAAGTACATGTTCATACTCAGTGTGAAAGGAGAGAAGAATTACCTTCCAATGAGTGTACTGCTATATTCACAACACATCCATCCAGAACAAGAAAGTAATCTTGCATAAGGCATTTTGTGTTCTTTGATATGTGCCAGATCAGCCACACAAAACACAGAAAATTTGGAGGAGAGCATGGAAAGTAGAGAAATTGTATTCAAAAAGAAAAAATAAAAGTTTTTTTCAAGCTAAACTTTTGGATTTGGTTTGCATGGCAAGGTATAGGTAGCTGGGGGAGCTACAGGGGTGGCTTCTGTGAGAAGCTGCTGGAAGCTTCCTATATGTCCAACAGAGCCAACGACAGCTGACTCCAAGATGGACCTGCTGCTGGGCCAGGCTGAGAGACTGAGCCCATCAGCAAGAGTGGTATAGCGCCGCTGGGATAATATACTTAAGGGAAAAAAACCTGTGCAACAGCAGCTGACAAGAGGACTAAGAATATGTGAGAGCAACAGCTCTGCAGACAGCCATGTCATAGAAGGAGAGGGTTGATCCAGGGGCTGGAGCAAAGATTTCCGGGCAGCCTGTGGTTAAGCCCATGGAGGTCCAGATGGAGCAGATACCCACTTACATCCCACGGAGGACCCTATGCTGGAGCAGATGGATGCCTGATGGAGGCTGTGTCCTCGTGGGAAGCTCAAGCTGGAGCAGGCTCCTGGCAGGAGCTGTGGCCCCATGTAGAGAGAAGCCCACACTGGAGCAGGTTTGCTGGCAGGACTGGTGATCCTGCAGGGAACCCACGCTGGAGCAGCCTGTTCCTGAAAGGCTGCACCCTGTGTAAGGGACCCACAATGGAGCAGTCTGTGCCTGAAGAACTGCACCCCATGGAAGGGACCCACTCTGGAGCAGTTTGTGAAGAGCTGTAGCCCATGGGCCCCACACTGGAGCAGGAGGAGAGTGTGAGGAGTGAGTGTGAGCTCCTCCTCTTCATGAGGAAGAAAAAGTAGCAGGGACAGTGTGTGATAAACTGACCAAAACCCTCATCCGCCACCTTCTGTGAGACACCTCAGGGAGGAGGTAGAGAATTTGAAGGTAAAGTTAAGCTTGGAAAGAAGGCAGGGGTGGGGAGAAGGTGTTTCAAGATTTTCATTTATTTCTAATTATCCTACTCAGATTTGATTAGTAATGATTGAACCTAATGTCCCCCAGTTTAATCTGTTTTGCCCATGACATTAATCAGTGAAGGCTCTCTCCCTGTCCTTATCTTGACCCACAAGCCTTTAGTTATATTTTCTCTCCCTTGTCCAGTTGTCAAGGGGGTGAGGCAGAGATGCTTCAGTGTGCCCCTGGCATAAAGGCAGGGTCAACCCACCACAACTTTCTCTGCTGCATTTGATATTAACATGTCTTTCAATAATAAGGCTCCCACAATGACCCTCTCATCACCCAAATCCGTGAATATCATGTCCTCCAGCTCCAGCTGAATTTTAAGACAGTGCATTTTGATGAGCAACCATTTCAGACCATCACCTCCTGCTTCCTCATATTAAAATAACATCACTCACCATCTCTGGGAAATAAACAGACCTGTGCTTTAATTTGCTAAAATAAACTTTGATTTACTAAAGTTACAGGACTGGGATTATAGCTTCCAGACACTCTACCTCCAAGTTATAAGAGGGCAGCAGACCCCACCCCAGATGTAAAAGGGTGATGGCTGAACTTTGTTAGAGCCAGTTGATTTGATGTAGAAAACAGCTCTGTTTACCTTTACCCTTAACATACCATAATGGCTTTGTGAATTCTCCCTCACAGTACTGAGTCATCAGAAAATAAAAAGCAAGTTTATGATGGACTAGGAGCCGAATAAAAATAAAATCAAAATCAATACAGTGGAATTTCACTTCCATCTTTTTGACTAAGGAAACCCTCCAGCTCTCTTGACATTGGTAGTACAAACTAATCCATTGCATTTTCCTGACCATAATTAAACAATAAAATGGCAAAATAGGCATGCAGTATGAAAGCATCATTCAAAGTCTGGGCAAGTTCAAAGAACTTCTCAAAGATAATACAAAAATAAGATATCATACAGTCATAGAATAATAAAATAGTTTGGGTTAGAAAGGACCTTCAAAGGTCATCCATTTAAACCGCCTGTAATGAGCAGGAGCATCTTCAACTAGATCAGGTTGCTCAGAACCATTTCCCACCTGGCTTTGAATGTCTCCAGGGATAGCGCATCCACCCCTCTCTGGGCAACGTGTACCAGTATTTTACCACCCTCATTCTGACGAAAAAAATGTCTTCCTCATATCCAGCCTGAATCTCTCGTCTTTTAATTTAAAACCATTACCCCATATGGTGTTAAAATGAAAAAAAAATAAATAAATAAAAATTAAAGACCAAAAAATAAACCCAAAATAGTTAGCCTTACCCATTGTTGGCTTTTCTATTCAATGTAACCCCTGCGGACAAGCGATTGCACATCAGAGTTTTGAAAGAGAATTCCTGCCATTGCTATTAAAATGTTACCCTAATTCATACAATAAAAATGCCTCTTGCTTAAGAACAATGATAGGGTTTATTTCCCTTATATTTGATCCAGGTGGTCTGAAAGAAGTAGAATTAATGGTAGAGAATGCTGTTAACAGGCTCATTCTGGAATGAGGATAGAGGCATCAAACCGTTCAAATATTTCTGGTTCTCCAGGATCTCCTGTATTTCCCCATGGGCTTGTACTTGATCTCTTCTTCTGCTTCAAATAACAATTCCCAAATACTAGACCCCAGGCTAGAGTCATCATGCAATTTACAGTACCTGCATCATCACTTCTACCATGGTTCTCTGGAGCAAGTGAGGAATTGTGTTCAGGAGATCATATTCCCTACACTCTGACAGGTAGGTTCTGTTGTATTTCTAATATGAGAAAAGGCATGCAAATACATGGAAGATACACCGCTATAAGTCATGAAAGACAGACTTTTTTGCCACGGGCTGGAACACAGACTGAAGTAAACATAGCTCAAGTATGCCAGGAGAGGATATTAGGACAAGTTATTATTCACATTCTCTGAAGGAACAAGCAAATTATCTCACAGCACACCACTACAAAAATGTCAGACAGTGGCTCCACTGTAAGGACCAGGAGATA